AGTGATTTAAATCTCTCATGATCATGATGCAAAGATATCAACAACAAGACTTGCTGGTTACCCGTAGAGTGGAACTCCAAAGTATGGGATCGATTGGCGCTCAATCTGAAGGAGGGAGGGTTCTTGAAAGCAAGGATTGTGCATCGGCCAGACATTGTAGAAAGTAGGTTGGTCAGCTTGAAGAAGCTGCTGCTCCCTCTGATCGCCAAAATCAGGATAACATGTGCAATGAAAAGAATCGTCGCTAACTCCAGAATCTCAAACAAACAGCACCTCACTGTCACAGTCATAGGCATTATGGTCGTACACTTTGACATCGATGATGCCATTTCATGTGATACAAGTCAAGTCAAGTCAAGTCAAGTCAAGTCAAGTCAAGTCAAGTCAAGTCAAGTCAAGTCAAGTCAAGTCTCAAGTTACGACCTCGCTCATGTTCTCGTCGGGTTTGATAATTCCCAACTTGTTCATCTGCTCAATCACTTCTTGCACTTGGCGGGTCCGATCGGAACTGCTCCTGGCCGAGGGAGCAAGGCACAGAAATCTGCGCAGTGGCATGAGACGAGGAGAGGGGAGGATGAAGAGGAGAAGAAGAAAGCTCAGCAGCAGCAGCAGCAGTTGTACATTACCCAGTTTGCATGGCTCCCGTGTTGACATCGCATGTTCCAAGCGAGCAAGTAAACAACTTGTCGTTGCCCTTTGATGTACAAACATATCAAATCATGAGATGCACACAGTTTCCTTCTCACAGGCAGTAAGATCATTTCAGCCGCTATGCTTTCCCCAATGTATCCGATCTGAGGATATGGTTGAGTGATGGTGATTGACCAGATTGAAACAAGAAATATAAGACTAAACAAGGCAAGCAAAAGTCACCAAATTAAATTACAACACATTACAACATTTCGCAGCATCAATGCACAAAGCAAGTGATAAACCTGTCTTGTTCCAACGAAGACCGGGATGTAACCAGTAGGGCTGTAAGCGTTGCAATAGTTGATGATGTCAAGATAGGTGATAGGGGTTTGACCATTTCCAAGAGAGTTTTCTCGAAGACATCGGCGAAATTCTTCGAAGGAAATAAACCCATCGCGATCAATGTCCATGGAGCCAACAAGTTGATCGGAGAGAGAGAGGGAGAGGGTGAAGCTGAGGTCTTTGAGAACTTGGCGAACTTCTTGTGCCGTCAACATACCCTTGTCACTTTTGTCCCACCTGGTGTGAGACTGTCAAGTATTGGCATGACAATAGAAGGGAGGAAAGAAAATGGAACAATGACGGGCATGGGTGTCATTCTGATCAAAAGAGGAAGATTGTACAGCAAAAACAAGAAATCGAAGGAAGAACAAGAAAAACTGATGGCCCAAGAAGAAGCATTCTATGAACAGTAGGAAAGATACACTATGGTCGTTGTCGCAAAGATACTCAACAATGCTACTTGGATAACATGAAAGACATTAAATCGTGATTCCAAACCTTAAGAAGGTATCCAGTAAGATCTTATCAACTTCATCATCCTGCTCAACAGTAAACCAAAGGAACCGAAGATGTCGCGGAACATTCACCGCCATCAATGAAGTGCTCCACTTGTCCAGCATGTTCTGAGTGCAGCCGTCAGCTGAAGTCGATCGGTTGAGGAGTTTTCAGACTTGTCTGATCAGCGTCGTTGTCAGCCCCTCGGGTCGAAAAGGAGCCACGTCTGCAGTACGGGGAGGCAGAAACCGGTCGATGACCTTTGCGATGTTGTAAAAGAGACAATCAGCAGGTGTGGAGGTAGCGGAACAATGATCAGAGATTCGAGGAAGAGTGAGAGTTCACAGGTTGATTACCTGAGTTATCTCTTTGAAGACATCGAGTTCGTGTTTAGTCGAGTCTATCACTGTTGTGCGATCTTTGAAAATCTTCATGACCTGTCCGCGTCGTCACAAACAGTTCAACATATGTCATCCTTCACTTGGTCAAACGTCTCATGATGAACTTTCAGCCTGTCAGAGACATAGTTGTCAAGGTGGTGGTTGAGGTCGGGACAAAAACAATCAAACTCAACAATCAAACTCAACAATCAAACTCAACAATCATACTCAACAATCAAACTCAACAATCAAACTCAACAATCATACTCAACAATCAAACTCAACAATCAAACTCAACAATCAAACTCAACAATCAAACTCAACAATCAAACTCAACAATCAAACTCAACAATCAAACTCAACAATCAAACTCAACAATCAAACTCAACAATCATACTCAACAATCAAACTCAACAATCATACTCAACAATCAAACTCAACAATCATACTCAACAATCATACTCAACAATCAAATCAGACCTTAAGTTGATCGCATCAACAGTGTCGTCGATCCTTCGAATCAAGTTCGTCTCAACCTAAAGTGAAGCTTTGTCAAGGACTGAGATCAAAAAGAGAAGCAAAAACGCTCAAATGCGATCAAGAGGGAGGTTGGAGAGGAGAGGAGAGCCAGAGAACGATAGTACAGCATGGGGAGGAGGAAACAAGATGTGATAGGAAAGAGGAATGGAAGGTTGAGTGCTCAGCAGCAGGAGGTACCTCAGCAGGGGCAGGGTTGAACTTCGGGTGATAAATGATTCCTGCTCAAAAACATTTCACCATGATCGCAACTCAAGACGGCAGGGAGTAAAGAACAGGAGCAGGAGCAGGAGCAGGAGCAGGACCTGTGGTCGGATCGAACGCCCTTCCTGCAGCGCAGCAAGTCATCTCAACAGCAGCATGACGACTGAAGCATCGAACGAGCGACACTCACCCGAACACCACTCTCGCACCACCTCGTCCGGTCGGTCAAGTATGATGACGTGATCAGGAATGATCTTCTCCTCTATCAGCATCTTTGCCTGCATGTCAATCAGCAAGCAGAGTCAGCAACACAACAACCCTTGTCAACCTGTTCCACGGTGCGAGGAAAGCCGTCAAGTATCCATCCATGGTAGATACAATCATCCTACACCTCCATCTTCACTGGTGCACAAGGGAAAGGCAGCGAGCAAGCGCAGCATGTCCTACTCACTTGCTCGATCCTCTTCTTCACTATCGAGATCACTAGGTCGTCGGGAAGCAGCTTCCCCTCCTTGACATACTCGAACGCCCGCGCTCCCAGCTCCGACCCCACTTTCATCTCTGCTCGCAGCAAATCCCCTGTGCTAATGTGCACGCACCGATACTTCCTGCTGATCAGCGGAGCCTTCGAGCATGGTCAGCATGAGACAAGGCACCGGACTTGGTCAGGACCTGTGTTCCCTTGCCTGAGCAGGGTTTTCCTGCTAGTAAGATGCGAACCCCGTACGCACGGGAGGTAGGATTGCTCTCCTTTCGACGCTCCTCGACTGTCGACCCTGAGGCTCGAGGTTTCAAGATCAATGCGAGCAAGCGAGCATGCGGGCGCTCTTACCGACTTCTCTTGCTTGCATTCGCCAATGTGGCGGGAAACTTCTGCTCTTGACCCGCTGGGGACATGGTCAAGTCGACAAAACTCCAATGCAATGACCAAACCGGAATCGTCCATGAGCGAGACAGCAGAGGAGAGACGTGCTGGCATCTTTGAGTGCAATCAGAATCTCTCTCACGAGGAAGACTCTGCTGAGGATGATTCCCTCACCTTCCTTGAGCTAGCTTGATGCCGTCATGGTTGAAACGATTGACTGTAGAAGACCAAGAATCAAGGATAACGGTCGGAACATTCGTAGGACTCGAACTTACGTTGCACGATGAAGGATTCGCATGCAAGAACGAAAGAAAGTAGAGAAATCACGTATAACAGCACCGAAGGTAGTGACATGGTTGGCCCAATCCAAGAAACACTCAAACACACATTCGAAATCCTGCCGTAGCTTTCAGCCGTCATGGATGAGATCCCTCTCGTCCCTTCCCTCCCCTCCCCTCCTCTCCTCTCCTTCAACTCTTCCTCTTGCTCATTCTTCTCCCCTCCCCTCCCCTCCCCTCCCCTCCCCTCCTTCCTCCGTCCCCCTCCCCTCGCCCCCTACTAGCATTTTCGCATCTTTGCTCTTTGCTGATCCAAAAATTCTTTCCCCTCTTCCTTCAGCCCCTCATCCCCAACACCCCAAACACAGTTTCCAGCCCTCATCCCCGCTCAGTCACCGTTCGATCACTGGCCGGTGACCGGCCGGCCCGGGGCCGTCACTGAGGGGGCCGCTCGGCCGGCCCGGGGCCCGGGGCCCGGGCTCACTCTCCACTGTGACCTCCGACTGGCCAGACCCTATTCAGTCCAAACACCGTCCAACAATGAGTCTCCGGCTCCGTGTCACATCCGGGCCTCACGACCGTCGCAGGGCTGGAAGCGGCCGAGCCTGGTTCAAGTTTCAACTTCCGAAGTTCGGCGTTCAAGAAGCCGTACTCTAGCGACAAGGACTTGAGGTTTAACTTGAACCCTCCTACAGCAGCTCTGCCTCGCAACGCATCGGTAGGAGCCATTCTTGCCTTTGACAGTGATGTTCTTGAACACATCCCAAACTGTCACAAGTTCAACGGTAGGCTGAGCCATCATTGGATTGGCTGAGCCGGGGTAGGAGGAATTCTAATCGAAAGAAGCCTGAAGCCCATTCGCGTTGAAAACGGCAAGCACCAAGGCAGGTACAAGGAAACACCTGTTCAATGAAGTGTCGATGGAGAAGGCGATGCCGGGGATCAGAATGAAGCGAGTGTAGGAGAAGAAGCGGAGAATGGAAAAAACCCGGCTAGGTTGTAAAAGAAGAAAGGGGGTGGGGAAATCGAAAACTGCCATCAATCAGGACAAGCCATATCCTCCCTGCTCTACCAGAACCCTGTGAAGGTTGCTTGATAAACATGATTCCCTTTCTCTTGCTGTTGACAGATTTCGAGCCAGCATGGCAAATACGAGCATGTTTGATACCGTTGAAGATGTTTGTTACAACCTTGCAATTCAAGTCGAAACTACGGATGATGCTAGGTGGCATCCCAAACAAGTTCTACTACAAACTCAGTTTAGGATGAGAGGCGAAGAACAACAAGGTGGAGTGTTTGTAAGGAGAACGAGGAATGCGCTATCTGCTTGCAAGGCAGGGCTCAGTTGGCACTGATCCCTTGCGGACATGCGTCTGTGCGATGCCTGTATGGAAGCAGCAGCTGTGAGGGAGTTTCCGATGTGCTGGTCTGAACCCACAGGAGTTTGTAAGATCTACAAGGTCGGAGATTGAATGCGATGAAGAAGCATTATAATGTGATTAAACGCTCTTGGTACTCCCTTGCTGTAGTACGAGGCTGAAATCGGCATCTTGCCAGATACTTTCTGATTGAAATTATATCTGCTCTTCCTTATCCTTGCGGAGGCATATCCGTTCCGATAAGAGCTCAACACTGCGACTGAGCTGTTGTAGGAGGGGGAATCTGATTCGTCCTTCTATAGATGTCAAGCATGTCAAGATTGATGGAACAGTAGTCCTACTTAACCACCAGTTTATGGCTCTCTCGATCCATGGACATGCTTGCAATTGATGGGTTGGTCTTTCGATTTACCGTTGACTCTCATCATCCTCCTCCATCCCCCTCCCTTCGTCCCTCATCGTCTCGTCTCCTGTCCTGTCTCGTCTCGTCTCGTCTCGTCTCGTCTCGTCTCGTCTCCTCTCCTGTCTCCTGTCCTGTCCTGTCCTGTCCTGTCCTGTCCTGTCCTGTCCTGTCCTGTCCTGTCTTCTTGCCTCCTCTCCTCTCCTCTCCTCTCCTCTCCTCTCCTCTCCTCTCCTCTCCTCTCCTCTCCTCTCCTCTCCTCTCCTCTCCTCTCCTCTCCTCTCCTCTCCTCTCCTCTCCTCTCCTCTCCTCTCCTCTCCTCTCCTCCTCTCCTCCGCTCCGCTCCGCTCCCCTCCCCTCCGCTCCCCTCCCCTCCTCTCCTCTCCTCTCCTCTCCTCTCCTCTCCTCGCCTCGCCTCTCCTCTCCTCTCCTCTCCGCTCCGCTCCGCTCCCCTCCGCTCCCCTCCGCTCGTCTCGTCTCGTCTCGTCTCGTCTCGTCTCGTCTCGTCTCGTCTCGTCTCGTCTCCTCTCCTCTCCCCTCCCCTCCCCTCTCCTCTCCTCTCCTCCCCTCTCCTCTCCTCTCCTCTCCTCTCCTCTCCTCTCCTCTCCTCTCCTCTCCTCTCCTCTCACGTGTCCACTTCTGCAAAGTTGTGGGTCAAATCAGGATTTAGCGTCCTTTCCCACCCCACCCCCTCATTCCCAACAATCTATCACCCTACTTTGTACCCGTTCATCTCCCTGCAACCTGAGGTCACGATAGGGGTACTCGTCTAATTGAGAGGGGGTGGAAAAACGCGAGTTTCCCGCCTCCTCCCTCTGCCCGCACTCCTCCTCCTCCTCCTCCTCCTCCACCACCTCCTCCACCTCCACCACTACCTCCTCCTCCACCACCACCACCTCCTCCACCACCTCCTCCACCACCACCTCCTCCATCACCACTACCACCTCCACCTCCACCACCACCACCTCTTCCTCGACCTCGTCATCTCCATCGATTGTTCCCTCGTCCTCCCGTCATTGATTGACGCATTTTCAGTGACTTTCACAACACTTGCGGAGCAATTTCCCTCGACTTGCTCGCTCTGATTTGAGTAACAGCGGCTGCTCCGCATTGTAAGCTTTCAGCTCATGTCCAACACCATGGGTACCTACAGCTCTCAAGACTCCCAGCGATTGCAAGCAGCATTTACTGTCTACTCCTCCTCCTCGCGCAGTTCGATCTCAGAGTCTTCGAACTCCTTCATGCATTCAGCGTTCGCCACACCCTTTTCTGGATTCATGCAGTCTCAGGCTTCCTTCTCCCAGGCGAACCAGCCTTCCTCCTTCTGCTCAATCCTACCAGGGCAGCAAGAAGGTTGTATTCCAACTTCAAATCGTTTTCTTTCCATCTCAGGAGGAAGTTTTCCTGCACAGCCAGGCCAAATGAGCTACCCTTGCCGTCAGGACGTTTCCCTTCATTCTTCATCCTCTTCGTCGCTGTATCCAAACTGCTTCACAAGCAGCTCGAATTTTTCTAGGCCAGTCCCTCCATTCATTGGGGTTCCTAGCGTGCCAGGTGAGCCTCAACCAGCAAACAGCCTAACAGACCAGGCATGTCAGAGCAAGGTCGCTGGGTCTCCAAACAGTTCACAAGAAAGCTCAGGAGTGGAGGAGAAGCATCGTACTAGTGTGAATGCTTCGACTTCCCCCTCTCCTGTCCGTAGATCGCTGTCTCCCTCTCCCTCTTCTGTTCCCTCTCCCTCTTCCTCTCCCTCTCCCTCTCCCTCTGCTTCCCTCTCACCCTCTTGGTCCCCTTCTAGCTCCCGCTCTTCTGCTTCTCGATCAGTGTCTGGTTCCCGCTCGGCATCAGCCTCGGCGTTTGCTTCGGCCTCTTGCTCGGCACCTGCCTCTACTTCTCCCCCTCCTCCTCCTGTAGCTCCTGCAACCAGTTCGACTGTTCCTGCTCCTTCTCCTCCTCGTGTTGCAGCCTGTGTCGTTGAACCTCCTCCAAACTCCAATGCTGCTGCTTCTAGCTCACATTCTCCTCCGATGGATTGTTCCACCCCATATCCCTGCCCTCCACTTACTTGCTCCGGGGGACACTCGACTACAACTTGGACTTCGATGTCAACTCCAGTCTCAGCTCTGGCTCAAGCGTCAACATTGGCTCAAGTGTCCCTTCCAGCCAACGACTTCGTCGCGGACATGCCTCTTCGACCCCCTTCTTCGATCTCGACGCCAGAATCATCGTTCACAGGCTTGCCTTCGACCCCTTGTCCTTCTAGTGCGTCGCGTAACAGCAAAAGGCCGTTCACAGAAGCAGCTCTTGAGGAATGCTTGACTTGCCCGATCTGTCTGGAGCGATACTCGATGGAAGGGAATCGTCAGCCGAAGATCCTTTCGAATTGTCCCCATACCGTCTGTCTGTCATGCATTCAAGAATGCAAGAAGCCCGAGTGTCCCCTGTGCCGGAAACCCTGTCGGACAAGGGATTACACCAGACTGTCAAACAATCCAACTGTGATGAAACTTCTGAATTCTAAGGCCAGTGAAGCTGGTGCTCTTGAAGGAGGTGATGGCAACGATGTGTCCAACCACGAGCAAGAGGAACCGGATGAAGAGTCGATGTTCTTCAAACCCAACTCCTCTTTGGCAGAGCTCTATCAAGCTTTCCAGAAGTTTCGAGAAGAGAGCCAGGAGATTGATATTCGTTGGAAGAACAATGACATCAGTGAAGAAGAAGCAACAATCCAACTGCAGGGAGCCCAAGAAAGGCTGCAACTGGTTAAGAAAAGTTTCGCAAAAGCCCGACGAAAATCAATCCTTTCCACAAAGAAGGCATGCAAGTCTGTCAAGTCCGAAGACTCTGGAAGTCTTAAGACGTCTGATGTGCATTTGACTTCCAGCACACTCCATTCAAACCAGCAGAACATGTCTCCGTGTTACTCTGAGATTGAACCTGACGGTATGAATGAAGTTTCAAGCTTGAATAGCGCAGCTTTTCCTTCCAAATATGCTCCCAAAATTTCAGACATGAATGCGTACATCTACAAGCTGAAGGATGATATGATTTGTCTGGCTGAAAGTATCCCATACTCAGCTGTTCACACTAAGAAACCTGGGACCTGGAACTCACTGAATAATTGCGTCACTGCCGCATTGGATATTCAGACTCTGAGGACAAACTTAAGATGGATACTGAAACAGATCAGAACTGAGTTTCTGATGAAAGATTGGATCCAAGGCAGGCAAGAGTCGTGGGTTTCGCAATGCGAGACGTGTAGATCTCTGAAGCAACTTGAGTCACTCATTGACGAGCTTAAATCTCTTGCGATCGATTGGGACAAAGCCAACGGGACAGTCAAGCCGTCAACTTCATCAACGTGGAAAGAGCAGGACGATAGCTCAACGCAATCGAAGCCCCCGGAGCCTGAGGTCAAGAAGAAAGAAGATCCTGTCAAGACTGAGTTCGAGCCGCCAAAGAATCCGAGAGGTGTACCTATCAACAATCATAAAATTCGCATGCAAGGGCTACCTGCTGGATGGCAAGGAAGCCTGGCACGAGGAAAAGATAGGTACTTGTACACCTTCACCAGCCCCGACGGTCTCACAATGACGGCGCCCTCAGACATTCTAAAGTGGTGTGAGCAGTTCCAAGGGATGGAGGCTGACAAACAAAGGAACGCGTTCGTCAAGAGCATACGGGAGGCAAAGAAAGCTTTCAGGAGAAAGTATAGCACCTTGAAACTTTGCCGGGCAAGAAGGGCCCGAGCCAATACAGGCGACCGACCTCTGCCTGCCCAGCCGCAGGATCCTGCACAGGATGGTGAATCAGTAAGGAGCGAAACGCAGGAAGAGGAGGACGAGTCCTGTCGAGCGAAGGGATCTGAGGAGGGGAGCGACAAGAAGAAAGCCAAGTTGAAACGGCAGCTGCTCAACCGGCGGCTGAGGAGGAAGTGGTTGAGGGAGGGGATGATAAACAGGGACAACGAGGAGCTGCCGGAAGGATGTCAGTGGTATGTTGCCAACGAGAACGAGACTATAACTGGCATCTCTCGACGGTACAAGCTCGACCCCGAAGTCCTCGTGTCCCTCAACCGCCACAGGCTGATGGAGTTGAAGAAGAAGTCGCGCTTCTACGTTGGGACCAAGCTCCTCCTCCCCGACTGGGTGGTGGTGGACAGGAGGGTGAAGGGAAAGTCTGTGGGCAAGGCTGGTCGAGAGGAGAGCGAGAGAAGGCAAGCTGGGAGCGAGTTGGGGTGAAATAGAAGAAACCCAGTGTCATTCGAGCATCTCTACATTTGAAGTCGGGGATCCAGTCCTCTGGGCATCCTCCTCCTCCTCCTCCTCCTCCCCTCCCAACCTCTCCTCGTCCTCCCTCTCGTCCTCCCTCTCGTTCTCCCTCTCTTCCTCACTCTCCTCCCTGTCACCCTCCCTATCTTCTGCTCCATCCTGTTCCTCCACCATGTGCCGAGGGATCTTTACCGGCAGGTCGACGACTTCATCTGCCTCTGACGAGCTCATTCCCTGTGCATGTCTCTTGTTTGCAGTTCGTTGCTCGTTCCCGTTCGTCATGCTGTGAAGCTCTTGCTCCTGTTCCTGTCTTCCCTCCTCCTCTTCCTGCTCCTGCTCCTCCTCCTGCTCCTGCTCCTGCTCCTGCTCTTCCTCCTCATTTCTTGCCAGCGAGCCTTCAAAGATTCTGCCTTTCACGACGAACTGAATGTTGACCGACTGAAACAACGGTCATCATCATCATCTCCACCATCATCTCCATCATCATCATCATCATCATCATCATCATCATCATCATCATCATCATCATCTCCATCTCCATCATCATCATCTCCATCATCATCATCTCTATCATCATCATCATCATCATCATCATCATCTCCATCATCATCATCTTCAGCAGCATCAGCATCAGCAGCAGCAGCAGGAGCAGTATCTCTCGTCGTCGTCATGACCAACTACATCTTCCTGCTCTTCGATCATTCCATCATCTCATCTTCACCTTGCGATCCCTTGAGATTTCTGTCACTTTGCATCGGAACGCAAGCGGCGGCTGCTCCGGACGGCTCGAGCATACAGCCTTCGGGTCTTGAAAGAGGACGCTCCTAGTTGCAACCTGAAGGTCTTTGCGGCTGATAACTCATGGTGACTTGCGCGGGAGGAGAGAGGAGGGAGAAGGGATAGGGGAGGAGTGGAGAAGCGAGGACGAGGAAGCGGAGGTAGAGGAGGAGAAGGAGGTTGAAGAGGAGGTTGAGTAGGAGGAGGAGGAGGGGGGGGGGGGGGGCACAGGAAAAAAGGGGAGAGGATGAAACAGAGAGGGAGGTCAAGGAGGAGATGATGCAGGACGAGAACGAGGAAGGAGGGAGGGGACGGAGGAAAGTGAGAAAAGGAGGAAGAAGAGAGGAAGGGTGGCGATGGAGGAGGACGAGGGAGGAAGGGAGGGAGGGAGGAGGAGGTAGGTGGAGGAGGGAGGAAGGGAGGGAGGAAGGGAAGGAGGGAGGGAGGAATGAAGGGAGGGAGGGAGGGAGGGAGGGAGGGAGGAGACCTGGGATGAGGTTGAAAGCAAGGCAGAACAGGGCGAGCCATCCATCCTTCGAACCCGTCTCCTTCCCTGAGACGAACCTGAAGGAGCGATGAGCTCCAGGAGGATGAGGAGACAGAGCAGGAGCAGGAGCAGGAGCAGGAGCAGCAGGAGCAGCAGGAGGAGAAGATGGAGACGAAGGAACAGAAGCAGGAGCAGGAGCACGACGAGCAGGCAGGAGAGGCAGGGGAGGAGGAGGAAGTGAAGGAAGTGGAAGATCACCGGGGTGAAGTGCATGTCTTCAACCATCTTCTTGCGCTTCTTGGCGTCTTCCCCCATCTGGATCCACTCTGGAACAGAGACAAGGCAGAAGTGAGCAGAGATCTGAAGAGAGAGTTGAGAAGAGATTTGTGATTGCAATCATGATCAGGGCCAGAAGAATGTCGAAGTGGAGAGGTGTGCTGGGTTCACCAGACAGCAAGTAGACGTTGCCCTGAGTTGAGTTGTTCTGTCCAACATTATCAAACACGACAAGCAGCAGAAGGGGAAACGAACATGCAAGTCGATGTCATCTTCGTGTGTTTCGCTGTAAAACAGGATCAGCAGGAGCAGGAGGTTGAGGAGGAGCAGGAGCAGGAGCAGGAGGTTGAGGAGGAGCAGGAGCAGGAGCAGGAGCAGGAGCAGCAGGGATTGTGTACACCTGGTATCCTCCAAGATCTCTGGATCTTCTACGGTATCCACTCTCTGCTTCGGCACGGCTGATATCTGCCAAACAAATATGCAATGACAAGGAGGATTGGAAGCCAAAGAAGTCGTCATGATAACAAACAAGCAGAAACAACAATCTCTTCTCGTGATTGGGATGTCAAGCTCCGTGACACAATTTCAATAGCCATCATATCAACAACGAAGGAAGATATCATGATCATACCGGTGTCTTGACTGACTGCCTTAGCTGTGTGAAAACAATCAGGTTGGAATTCTGGTGCAATAACACTCACCGCGTTCAGACATCTTGTCATCTTCTTCACTTTACCGTTCAGCGCATCCTGTTGGATCGGATCACTTGTGTTGAGATGGCGAAGAAGTTCAAATCAATCAGGACAACAAAAATCTTTTGCAAACAAGATTTTCATCCGCAAACTCTTGGCAGCTCGGTTGTGATAAGCACACACTCACGACCAAGAAGACATTCAGAGCATAACCAAGACGCAAACACAACCAGAGACAACTGGCTGCTTGCGCATACATGTATGCACACCTGCTTTCCAACAGCTTTCCTCCCGAAGGGCGAGTAGATGGTCCGATGAGAAGGATGCAGGTGCGGAGTTTCCCGGCGGTGCTGTAGAAGCTTGGAAGGGTTCTTCAAGGATTCTTTGATCCATCCCCTCACGCTCTCCGTCTCCTGCTCAGCTCGTCATGTCGTCTCACGAGCAGGAAGCAAGCAAGGGACCTCGTCCTTTGACCCGTCGCGGTACCAGTGCTGAGGTTGAGGTCAGCGACGAGGCAGAGAGGCGGGGAGAAGAGTCAGACGCATGACGAGGAGGAGAAGACAAGAAGGAGGGGGGAGTATCAGCAGCAGCAGCAGCAGCAGCAGCAGCAGCAGCAGCAGATATCGAGGAAATGACAAAGTGGAGGAGGAGGAGCAGGAGGAGACAAGGAAGAGTCGGGGCATGTACAGACCAGGAGTCTGATCAGATCCATCCCAACCATCTTCGACATCTACAACATCGTCATCGTCAACAGCCTACGACAGCAGCAGAGCTCAGTTCACTTGGCCCATGTCAGCGTTCAACCTCTGCACGATCTCCCTCATCCAACCCTGACAACTCGCAAGTCAGACAGTGAACAACACTCAACGATTTTCACCTTGGTGTCTTGCCAAAGGCGAAATTTCAAGAAATCCTCCTCAACCCTGTCGAAGACTTGACGGCCAAGGTTCTTCTCCCCAAGATGTCGAGTCAAGATTGCTCGCTGCTTGTCTTGATCTTTCTTCTGTTCACTCCTCGCATCTGACATGCTTGCTGTCTTCTTCATGTGTGATAGCGACTTCGCGACCTCTCTGAATCTTTCCCTCACCCTTGCATCTGTTCCATCCACCATGCTCCCAAAATCTATTCCTTCACACCAACGACTGTCACCAACACAGTCAGTCACAGCAGCTGGAGCACCTTCAAGTTTCCCTCTGAAGACACTCTCGTCAACATCATGTCCTAGAATCAACCTGGAGCAAACAAGTTTGACCCGCGTGCAACAGCAAGCAATCAACCCTACGTGATGGTCATATGGTGCCTTGTAAGGTCGGGGAGCTTGTTCGGGACAGGAACATCTCTCCATGTCACGCTCCATCCGCATGATTGCTGGTTGTCATCTTGCAAGTGAAACACCGAGCTGAGACAAGTCCCTTGTTTGATCTTACAGATCAACACTGAACAGTTCACCCTCAATGAAGCAAATCGTACAACCCCAGCACTCTCACCATACATACATGCCTCCTTGTCCTGCCCGTGTGCGATCAACCTCAGCCTGCTCGTGTTGTGTGTTGAGAACTCACAGCAGCATCTTTGCCTGACATCCCATCGCTCAGAAGAAATTGATAGGGTCCCCTATTCCTACCCGGAGCTGAAACAAAAGGTTGCTCGAAGACTGGAGATTTCCGCATCTATCTCAAACTGCCTCCCCAGCGCGAATTGATTCGCCATGATGATCAATCCCCTGCATAAACCTGGAGCTAGGAGGAAGACAAGAGATTACAACAACAACATGGCAACGTTGCTGAGAGACCTTCAGTTTCCGAAGGTTTCTTCAGACAATTCTCACACTCCATAATCTCCATCTTGCGATGACGAAAGTGGATCTTCACAGCTCACATTGAATCTTGGCTGATGGTTCAAGAAGATCATCAATAACAGCTCATTGTATCGTGATCGGCACAACAAAACACATAAAGCTGCAGATGTTCTAACGGCAAACACTCCTCATGCTGTTTTGTTTCACAACCCTGCTCCATACGCCCCGACCTTTAACTCTATCCCTCTCCTCCTCCTCCTCCTGTACCTCTGCCCTCTCTCCCCCATCCTCCCCCATCCTCCCCCTCCTCCTCCTCCTCCTCCTCTCGCGCTTCCCACCTGGGATCCCCTTGACTCCGGACATTTCCTCTGGTTCTGCAGATTCGCCTCAGGATCGAGAATGACCGAGGCGGGCCTGCTGATAACGAGAGCTGAACTCGAGTGACTCGGCGCCGGGGCTGCCGGGCGGCCGGGCCGGGCGGCCACTCCCCGGGCCCGGTTGTACGGTTAGTACCATGCCAAACTCACTGAATGCAGATATTGATGAGTCACACCGACCTCAGCTCATGAGCTCAACAAGACTCAGTGTATGCTAAGATGTAAGGGTGGGTTTGCAGAAAAGTTTTGTACACTTTATGGCTGACCGTCACCGAGTCACTGTTACGGTTTATGGTTGACTTTCAGTTATGGCGACCACTGATGGGGGGAGGTCAACTTGACGTTGCTGTTGTCGATCCGATCTAGGAGCCTGACTCGCGGCCGGAGCAGCTGAGCCTGGCAGGCTGAGCAGGCATGAGGGGCAGGGAGCGGCTCTGCCAGACCAGCAGGGGCAGGGGCAATGTGGCAGGAGCAGCCCGTGCAGGAGCCTGAGGGGCAGGGGCAGGGGCCGCCCGGCCAGGAGGAGGAGGAGCAGGAGGAGGAGGAGGAGGAAGAGCAGGGACAGGGGCAGGGGCCGCAGGAGCTGCCAGATACATGCTGATAGTGTTTGCAAGAGTTTGCAAGTTGATTAGTTCGGTTTGTTTTGCCTTGGCACAAGCATTGAATGTCTGGAAGAGTAATCCCTTTGGATAATTATTGCACGGTATATTGAGAAGTATCGTTCTCCTCAGATTCAGCGTTGAGATACAATCACGTCGAGTTACGTATGCTTAAGATGTATCCATGGTTGTGGTTATGGCAGTAAGAGACAGTTTTGATTCTTCTCTTGCTCTTGCTCGATTTGTCGGGTTGTCTCAATTTTTTTGATTTCATCTCGAAGGATCATGGTCTTGAGATCAAACATGTGATGTGCTGATAAAGTATCAAGAGATTGAGCTCGTACAAGACACTCTCACCTTGCGTTGCGACATCCAGCAGATTGCTTAATTCCTCCCTTTGTGACATGTTGTTCTTTGCCATGATTGAAGTGAAGTAGAGTGAGATTTCGTCAAGCGCCTCTTCATCAGCTTCAATTCTTTCTAATCGCGTGTTTGTGTCACGGAGATTAAAGCTAGAGAGTTCCTTCAGATTGCAGTCCTGGCAGCTTTTCACTCACGCGCATAGAAGGATCAACATACACCACCGTCTCCTCCAACAGGCATTTGCGAGCAATTGAAATCTTCTCTTTCAAAGATCTGATGTTCTTTCCAAACATCAACACAGTCATGTTGTCCTCTCATTTATTCACCTGTCGAGTGAGATGAAACTGAGCGATGATGCTGTAGTCTCGTAGTAAGATCTCTTCTACCCCTCTCATCACCTGCTGCCTTTTCACAACCTCACATCTCCAAGAATTCTCTACAGACCTCAGTCAAGTCTTCCATGTTTGTCTTCTCTTTATCCGCTATGATTGTCAATATCCTGAAGATCTTCGACACACGCCTCATCTTCAGCAAGTGAGATCAAACGTGTCTTGTTGAAACTCATCAAACCTTGGCGACAGGGAATCTGACTAGTTCTGCTTCAAAGCTCGAAGCGCTGTGATCATGGTTTCTCCGTTCTATCAGGAGCTGCAGACATCATGTGACCATAAGGAACTATTATCTACTTCCCGCCTCTACCTTGACTTTCTCTCCAGGAACGTCTGAGCTACACAGATGTCGTTGGACATCGTTGTATGAGTGCACACTTTGATGATTGATCTGCAACATGTGTAAAGATGTTTGGTGAAGTAGGTGCCGGTGAAAGTCGTCAGTACGTACCCTCTTCCTCCTCTTCCTCCCCTCCCTCGCCTCCCTCTCCTCCCTCCCCTCCCGCTGTTCCTCGCACTTCTCTCTGCGTCCCTCTCCTCCTATCTTCTCCTCTCCCTCACCTCAACGATCTTGTCTGAACTCTGCAGTCGAGCGAGAAACGCCTGCGAGCACTGAGCAACATCCGATGTACTGCATCCTCGTCAAGGATCCTTACCGGCCCACCAGGGATGATGCTCTCTATCTCCTTGCAGCAGCCTCCGTCAGCCCCTTCGACATCTTCATCCCCTAACTTACCGTGTCAGTGACAACCATCCCCAACGTCGTCTTCGGCATATTTGGCTCGAAAGATCCTTCAGAGCGATCGTCTCCGAACAGTGCGAACTGGCGTCACTGAGGTCAGCGAGGGCTGGAGCAGGGAGGGCTGCAAGCCAACGGCAGTCTACCTCCATGCTCGAGAACATGTCGCTATCCTCCTCCATTCTCTCTGCCGCTTCCTCCGCTTCTTTCATGGCCGCTGCCGCCCTGAGCATGGTTTGCGGGATGAAACGGTAAACTTTATAACGTTATGAGTATTATGAGATCTCAAATTATAAAACCTCGTACTAAAACAGTTGAGTAAAACTTTCATCATGGCGGGGCGCATTAGCGAGAGGGAGGAGGGGGAGGAGGAGACGGGGGCACACACTTGCAGCATGCTGTGATATGCTGTGATATGCTGTGATATGTGTTGATATGTGTTGATATGTGTTGATATGTGTTGATATGTGTTGATATGTGTTGATACGTGTTGATATGTTTTGATATGTGTTGATGTGGTATGGTCTTCGGTGATTCATAAGGTAATGACATGTCGCAACATGCTATGATACATTTTTTACATCATAAGTGTTGATGAAATTGGATGGAATAGGATTGAATATGAAGAGATAGGATTTAACTTTTTTTCAAGGTTGCATAGTTTGACATCTTTTTCTTTCAGCTGTAGGTGTAGCAACATGCGTGGATTTGGTGGGAGCATCGAGGCAGCCATACAGCCACTGTGACTGCCGTGAATCCTCCTGCATTCAGCGATGACCGTCGCCTGGTCCTCTACCATGACCTGCACGTTCGGGGGTGTCACGTGGTTGAGCAGCAGGGGAATTTTGCTTTTGGTCCTGCTCCTGCATATCAGGGCGACGTATGAGATAACTCCGCTATCATCCGCACCATCTCGCTTGCATGCTCAATGCATGGAGTTCAGGGGCCCTGCCTCCTACCACCCAGCCTTGTGTCTGCGAGGCGGGAAGTCTCGGCCGGGAAAGAGAAGGAAGAGCAGGAAGGGAGAGGAGGAGGAAAAGAAAGGGGAGTCTTCCGAGCTCGAATCGGAGGCGCTGCGTTCGGACTATCCCACCTCTCAATGCGAACTTTCCAGCATTCCTGAAGACGCTTACAAGGACATATCGGACTCCAAGATGTCCAGCGTGGACTCTCAGGCTGACGAGATGCAGGAGGAGGGAGAGGGCGAGGAGGAGCCGGAATCGGAGAAGGAGGAGTCTGAGGACGTGGAGAGATCAAGTGAGGATGTTAGGGAGGAGGGTGTGATGGGAGAGGGAGAGGGCCAAGTTCCTGGGGATGCCTTGATGACAGTAGACAAGTCTGAACGAGACCTGTTGCAAGAGGAGCTGCTGAACGCGAGCAGGGTCGGCGACTGCAGGCTGATCCGATCGCTGATCTCTCAGGGGGCGGACCCCAACGGCAAGACGAAGGACAACGTCGAGCACGGTTGCATCCACCTAGCTGTGAAGGGAGGGCACCTAGAGGCGCTGGAGACTCTGACGTCCTTGGGAGCTGACGTCAGCATGGAGTGCGGTACGGGAGATACTGTCCTTCACCTCGCGTCCCAGCACGGACATGCCAAGATCGTAGCTAAACTCCTTCAAGACGGCTTCCCTGTCGACGCCCATGGGTTCGGGAACCGAACGGCTGTCTTCGATGCCTCCGTCAAGGGGCATGCGGACGTGTTTGCCCTACTGGTTGAGCATGGAGCTGACGTGAACGCGTCTGATATGTGGAGCTCGACTAGCCTGCATGAAGCTGCCCGCTTCGGCCGATGCGACATGATCCAGTGCCTGGTGGACGCTGGTGCTGACCTGGAGGCAAGGGACTGGGGCTCGAGGACTCCCTTACATGTGGCAGCCGAGCATGGCGAGACTGAGGCGTGTGATCTCTTCCTGGAGCTCGGGGCGTCGCTGGAAGCGCGAGCGGAGAACGACTTCAACGCTCTTGAGTGGGCGGAGTGGCGAGGGTTCAAGGAGACGGCACAGCTGCTGCGGAAAGCGTACGGGATCATGGAGGATAGCGACGAGATGGAGGTTGAAGGCGAATTCGGTGAAGTTGCCGCATGCGAGTTTGTGTGTTGTATCGTGACGTCCGCATGCTGTGTTTCAGACGGGAACGTGACTGCGCTGGTGGAGAGGCAGAGGAAGTCCAACGCCATCGTGACGACCGAGGAGAGCAGCATAAGGAATCTGCTGGTGTCGAGGAAGGACTGGTTGAGCGAGAGCCGACGGGTGCTGATCAAAGTAAGGATGCTCTCCTCCAGTCCCTCTCGTATTTTTCTAGGATGAAGGTGATGATGATGCTTTCGCAGACGGGAAAGAAGAAGGGTCTTGCATTGTACACGGACATGGCTGGGAGGCTGGTTTCGAACGATCAGGTTGAAGAGAGTGTGTACAGGATGATGATTATTGCGAGGAATGAGATGATGATGATGATGATGGAGATGATGATGATGATGATGATGATGGAGATAATGATGGATGATGATGATGGAGATGATGATGATGGAGATGATGATGATGGAGATGATGACGATGATGAGATGATGAAGATGATGTTGATGGAGATGATGGAGATGATGATGATGATAGAGATGATGATGATGATGGAGATGTTGGTGTTGGAGATGATGGAGATGATGATGATGGAGGGTTTGGAGACAGCGAGCTCGTCGCTCACCTACAAGCAGGACATGGGGCCGGCCATTGGAAGACCGTCGAACGCGGGTGTGAGTCATCTCAAGAACAAGCAGGTAAGCAGCAAACATGTTCATTTAGCAGCCTCACACCTCGATCAGTGCCGAGCAGTTGACTGCACAAGGACCGCCTACTTCGGTGACCCACATGATAGCATCAGAAGGTTCTGTCGCATACACAGGTGAGAGGAAACGAACATGTTTGTTCGACATGTCTTGAACTTGTCTTTACTTGTCTCTTATTTGCCCATTACTTGTCTCTTACTTGTTGTGGTTTCGCACAGACGTGAAACAGACATCGACGTCTATTATAAGGCTCCTGCTGTCCCGCATTTCGGCAAGAAAGTTCCACTGCCATGGCAGCTCAACTAAGGAAATCGACGAGCTAGAGGACGAGGAGAACAGGGAGGAGAGGAGAATTCGGAGAGGAAGAGGAAGAAAGTGGGGAGAGGGGGAGGGGGAGCGGATGGAGGGTTTGAGCTGATGACAAACAGGGATGATGTTTGCTTGAACATAAAGCGTAGCACTCCTACTTCGGTTCTTGTTGTTTGCATTCGTGATACACGAGTCAGATTGAAGGGGATGGAGTTAAAACATTCATGACATTTGAAGAAGAATATTCTTGTGTGAACATCTACAATATTTACGACGATAGGAAAGGAACCTTGAGCAGAAACCCTTACGACGACGGCGAGGAAACGACGGGGGAGGAGAGGAGGGCAACGAACTTGTTCGGAGAGTTGGTGAAACCCTCTTCCTCATACAACTTGATCTTGTCATTCCCTCCGTTCCTCCACTTCTGCCTCCCCCGCCGAGCATGTCCCTCCCATCCTTCCTCTCCGTCGAGCGCGACTGCTCGAACCAGGCGCCGAGGAGGAGGAGGAGGACGATAGGTGCAAGCAACGAGCCCATGAAGCTGAGAGACCAGCGCAGGTCTGCCACGTCACGGATGGAACCGACGAGGATGGGGCCGGAAAAACTTCCTAGCTGAGCGAACATGTACTTGACTGCAAACAAGGAGAGTGAGTTGAAGAGCATCGAACAAGAAGAGTCAGGAAGAGAACAAGGAGGGAGGAGGGCTGGAGGAGGGCGAAAGGGATAGGGACAGAGGAAGAGGAATTGGCGGAGGAGAAGAAGGAGGAGGATGTAAAGGAGAATGAGGAAGTGAGGGAGGATGTGAAGGAGGTGTGAAGGAGGAGATGAAGGAGATGAAGGAGATGAAGGAGGAGGAGGAGGACCAGGAGGAGGAGGAGGAGGAGGAGGAGGAGGAGGAGGAGGACCAGGAGAAGGAGGAGCTTCACCTGCTATGGCCTGGTCACGGTATTCGCTGGGGATGCCCGAGAAGAGCGCGACGCCGCTGAGAGGAGACTCGGAGAAGTTGTAGATCAGGAGCCCTCCTGACAGACAGGCGATGGCGACTAGCTGGCTCGGTGACCAGAGGGAGGAGAGGAGGAGGGGCATGGCGAGGACGCATACAGTAGCTGAGAACATGCTCGAGATGTAGGCTCGCCTCTCGTCGCTCTCCTCGCTATGATAAGCCTCCTGCTGCTGACTCGCGCACAGCCGATCGAGCAGCTTCCCGCCCATGATGACGCCGACGACCCCGTTGAAGAGGAACATGACTGTACAGAGCTTCCCGCTGTCGCTCTGCCGCATCCCAAGGTGAGACATGAGGAACGAGGGCGTCCAGAACAGGAAGGACTCAAGCGCCATGCGGTGGAGGCCGGAGACAACCGTGAAGCAGGGGAAGGAGGGATGCTTGCATACGTTGACGGCGACGTTGGCCGAGCTTAGCCGCGAGATCTCCCGCTCCTTCTGCGGTCTGTGGATGAATCTTGACTCGTTGTAGAGCCCAAAGACGACGGCAGGCATGGCCAGCAGGCCGATGGCGCTGAAGGCGAACGAAGCCTGTTGCCAGTCCTTCATCTCCCCAGCGATGAGGTTGCCGAGGGAGAAGCCGATGATGGAGCTTGTGAGGTAGATGGCTGTGAAGGTGGACGAGCTTCCGGCCGGAGCAGCGTCGTCCACCAGCCCCGGCCCGAGCGTGTAGAGCGCGGAGAACCCAAGACCGTTGATGAACCTCAAGAAGAGCAGCAGTGAGTAACTAGGAGCTATCAGAGTGAAAACTTTCCCCATCTGGGCAACTGCGAACAATGAATACAGGAGGAACACAACTCGGACCTTTCTCGTCGTTGTCTTGCAGGCAAACTGCGCAATGAAAGGTGAGATCAGCGCATTGATACTTCCTATCGACCCCACGAGCCCTTGAACGGCGCCGGGCGCTTTGCCGAAATGCTGTTCGACATGTTGCATCAGTTGACTCATGAAACTCCAACTCGTGAAGAAGAGGCAGAAGCTCCAGGAGAGCACGAACAGCTGAAGGTAAGGACTTATCCTTTGCTTGTCCCTGGGCTCGCCTGCTCTCACCAGGCTTTCAGGGTCGACCGATGGCTCCTTATCGGCGCGGTGGTCGAAGAGGACGACGGGCGAGGGCTTGGGGAAGAGCTGAACGTTCATCTCCTGGAACGGTGAGGGAGGGATAGCATCAAGGCCGTCCTCGCAAAAGTCGAGGTTAACATAGTGAGAGGCTCTACCTCCCAGCAGGTCTAACACTGGAGGAGGAGCCTGTGGGTACAGCGGGTGGGGACTTGACTTGGGCTGGTCCCTTGTTTCCTCTGCATGCCTTTCAGAGCTCACGCGGTGGTTCTGTTGTACTGCCTCAGCAGCTATCAGGCCTCCCTGGTCCATGGCTCGTTTTGTCTTGTTATATGGGAAAAAGTCTTGGAAACAGAAATCCTCCTTCAGTCAGTTCGGTTTGTTCGCTTGCAAGGTGTAGGATAGATTCCGTTGATCTTGTTTTCCGAGGTTGTATTAAAAATACGTGCTAACACTCAGAGAGTGGGAATATGGCAGTGCAGCTCGATGTAGTTCAAACAAGTAGCAGAGAAAGCAGGAGGTCGATGGAGGGTGAAGAAGGATGGATAGAGCGGGGACGAAGAAGTGAAGCAACGGGATAGAAGCAGAGCCGAGAGACTAGGGAGGACAAGGTACAGGTCCAGGATGAGACGGAGGAAGGGAGGGAGGGAGGGAGGGAGGGAGGGAGGGAGGGAGGGAGGGGGAGGGAGCACGACTGGAGGAAGTTGGGGAAGGAAACAGGTCGAGAATGAGTGGAAGGATCTTTTTATTGGGTGCAGAATGGGGGCCGATCACGGGGGTGGGGGTAGTACTTAAAAGATAGAGTGGAGGGTGGTCAACTCCGGGGGGTGTTGGAATAAGGGGGTGGTCCTGGATGCTGAGGACGCAAGAGGGAAGGGTGGGGGTAAATGTGCTGCAAAGATGGGGTGATGAAAAGAATTCTTTGGGCATGGTGGGGTATCAAGATTCGGGGGATGGAAAAACTCTCCAAGGGGGTGGGTGGTACCACATAAACACGTTTGTGTTGGTGGGGTGGTGCTATGTCCACATTGTGGTTAATGGACCAGGGGTGATAGTATATAATCCAGGGGTGGGGGTACAGAATTTGACAGTGGCTTGTGTTGCCGAGTGGGGTGAAATACGGTTGAAGGTAGGGGTACAATCTGTAGAATACTGGTGAGGGTGGTGGAATTGCCGTGTCTTGAGGGTGGGGTGGACAGGAGCACTTTTCTAGCAGAGAAGGAAAAGAAACTCGGAGAAAAGAACTCCATCTCGGGGGGTAGGGTGGCTGACCCTACCCTTCTGTAAACCTAACATCGATGTCTGAGATGAGGTAGGGTGTCGTACCCCACTATACCCAATCCAGCAGGCGCTTCCAGTTCCAACACGCCGTCACCCACCCACCCCCCTTCTGTTTTTTAATTGAGTACTACTGTACCCCTACATTAAATAACGATATCCACCGGTGTAGATCATGGCAGAACCCCTGAGTACACCATGGAATTCCATCACCACCGGTAGTCTCAATTCTTTTTTCCCCACACTTCATACGCCCTTCCCCCACCTTTAACAAACCCGCTCCCCCGAGCTAAACCCCCCCCACCCCCACCCCATCCATGACAAGGGTGAATCGCTGACCCCACCGGTCCAGGAACTTTGAAAAAGGTCGCTGATCCGACTCTGTTGACGACCCCCCCTTCTCCCCACATCTCCAGCTTTCCGAGTGGCCCTTTTGATAGTCGTATCCCTACAGATTCCCCCGAACTAACACCTGAAACTAAACGGATTGAGTTGGTGCCGGCCGTGACGGTCACTGAGCGGCCCGGCGCCGGGGCCGGGCCAGTGACTCTCAGTGACCGTACCGTCGGGCCCGACTCCCGCCCCCGGCCGCCGGGGGCCGGATGCCGCCGTCGGAGTGACCGACTCTGTTTGCCGCAAAGACTCTTCCTGAATGGTGACATCCATCTGCTGTCACATATTTTTGGCATCATGTAAGTGGATAGGAGGAACTACAGAGCTTGCTCCGAAGCCTTGTGAACTTGAAGGAGGATCATCCGAGGTCCCTGCGGAGGCTGCCAGTGGACTCGAACTTGGAATGCCGGGCGGCCACGTAATGAAGTTGATGCACTGCCGCAACAAGATGTTGAAAATTTACAGATGGGTGAGGAGGACGAGGAGTGTAAGGAGGAAGTTTCGAAAGTTGAAAGAGACTGTTTTGTTCGACGAGGCCGTGAAAGAGAAAACATTCTAGGTGCTGAAACCAAGGACATGCAGGATCAAAAGTTTGGTCAGGGGGCCCACAGAGGTGGCTCGACTTTCCATGTCTGCAATGAAAACAAAGTTACAGGGAATGCTCCGACAAGGCACCTCCACTGATCACACATGAAGGTGTGGTGTAGTGAGTTTACTAGCGATGCTCGATCAGCGTGGCATACAACATGAGGGGCAGACCCATCTAGCTGAAGAGGCAGATCCTATATGCTTCAAGCGCGCAGTCCTTTGAGAGTCCTTCGCCTGACTTTGTTGACGCTCCACGCTAAGCCTAGCCTTGAGTGCTGTCCCTTACCTGAGGCAGGTCCAATGTGAGTTGATCTCGCTGTTGTAGGGCTCTGATAAGAGGCTTTTCAACACCTTGACTCAAGGTTATTTCATTATGCCGTTTCCTGTCTGTACTACTGTCGCTTCCAGTGGCGTTTGCATCATTTGTTTGACCACAGGTTTCAGGCAGTTTTGAAGCTCCTTATTCGTGGCAAGTTCATTCTTTAAGACTGCCTTGAAGGCTTGACTGCTGAGAATGCCTTGAAAGAACGTAAGGCTATCGTATTTCGAGGTTTTACACTTCTTCTGCTTTCGCCCCTCGTCCGCTTCCTGTCCAGAGGCATCCTCACTCTGGAGCTGAAATAGATCAGCAAAATGTCCCCATTTCACTCGACAATTGGCCTTGTGTGATCCAAAGTGCCGATCTACCTTCTTCGTGACCACATCTAGAAGGTCCTCATCAGTGTCACCCTGGATCTTCTTCAGAATCGCTGTTTTCACTTTTGGATCTTTGATAGAATCGTAACAAGCCGGAATTGGTTCATCGGGGTCAGGGGAAATAATCCCTTCGCGTTTGGCTTCATCCAAATGATGACTAAAACCTCTCTGCTCCTCAGACTCTTGTAAGATTCGAAGCAACAACTCAGGAGATCTACCTGCATCCCAGGTGTCACAAAGATTTGAATTTTACAAATGATCTCTTTACAAACCTATGGCCTTCAGGCAAGCATTGACATTAGGTTGTCCCTGCCATTTTCCTTGTTTATAGAGTAAGCCAGCTTGTCTTGCCAGAGACTCCCAGGTGAGCAATTCATCGTCTTCCAGGGTGATGGTTTGTTTTCGACGTCTGGCCGAACTTGCTTGCAATGGTGGGGATGTCTGATCTGATGTCTTTGGTTCCAACATGCTAATAGTTGATCAAATGTCTGTGTTCGAAACTTATCAGCAGATTTCAAGTTCTCAACCTGTGCAACCTGTGGCAACTTGCCTGTCCCGGGGAAAAATTTGAATTCAAATCCCTCGGGGGACCACCCTGCCCCCTATTTGTCACAGCACTAATGGAGAACGACCCGGTGGTATAATATCCGAGGCTGTGCCAAAATACTAAGCTACTACTACTACTACTACTGCTACGGGAGGCTGAATACTGTACTGCTACTACTAAGCTACTACTACTGCTACCGTACTGCTACTGCGGCTACTACTACTACTAAGCTACTACTACCTGACTCAGTACTACGAGTCCGAGTCACTCAGTAGTACTACAGTGACTCAGCCTCACTACCGTAGGCACCCTTTCGGCGGCGTTGATAATCCTGATGGTTCGTAGCTTTTACTCAAAGTTAAGTGAAAAATCAGTACGAGGACAATCAGGAGAGTCGAGGAGGCTTGACCCTGACACTGTCGCACAGGCCAAACGGCGAGAAGAGAAAAGACAGCGAGAACCAGTGTGAAATTCCGAAAATACTGAGGCGAGGCCACCTTCATTGGGCCGACTACACTGTACCGTGTTTCGGGCCGCCGGCTGCGGCCGCGGCCCATGCGGCCCACGGACCGTGGCCCGGCCCGGGCCGCTGCCGGGCGGCCGCCCGGAGTCGGACGGTCCCCGGCGGAGCCCGCGGGCCCCGCCGTCTGATGCCGTCGCACTCCTGGCAGAGTGTGAAAGCTGACTACTGTCGGAGCGGCCCTCCGGGCGCCGAGCCTGGGGCCTCCCGGAGTCCGGGCATCCGAAGTTCGCCCGGGCCATGGCACCGCCGGCCGGTGGCCCGGCCGGGCCGGCGAGTGACTATAATAATCAGTCACTGCCACTGAGAATTTTGGGTATAAGAACTTGGGGGGTCCAACTGACGGAGGGTAGGGAGAGTACGTATGTGTACCGTTGACTTGGGTCCTAAGGGGTAGGGGTATACATGAAGGGGGTGGGGGTGGGTTTATAACACAACGGCGTTCATGGCATGGTGGGAGGCAGTCGGCATGCTGGTCGGGCTGAAGTTGAGGAAGATGCAGAGGGAGTTGAGGAAGGCGAAGATGAGGATAGAAGAACTAGAACAGTGCCCTGCCCTCCCTTCTCCTCCTCCCCCTTCTCCTTTCCCGTCCTTCTCCACAGCTCTGCACCTGTCCTGCCAATCTTCGAGGCTAGAGTTCATGAGTGCTAAGGAGGACTCCAACCCGGCCATGCAGATTCTCTCTCCTCCCTCATGTCTTCTAGGAGAAAGTCTCACTCTGTCTCTCTTGCCTTGCGATGATCACAGCTGCAAGATGTCAGATAGCTTCGTCAGCGCTAAGAAAGGAGGGCAGGTTGAAGAGAAGTTGAAACTACACATCATTCTTGAACCGATCATCAGACATATCGAGAGCCATGTGGAAAACATGGTTTCGTTATGCACCAAAGCGAAACATGCCTACCAAGAGCAGCTCCAACTCATCCAACAGCAATCAGCCCATCTTGAAAGAACCTGCACCCAACTCAGTGTCGAGCGCGATCGAGCGATCAGCGAGAGGAATGCTCTGGAGGCTGAGATGATGGAGCAGAGCAAGCTCATCCACGAGCTCGAGCTGCTAAGTTGCGACGCCATTCCAGAGCTTCGTGCCGCTCAGCTGAAGCTCGAGGAGCAGCTGGCGGAAAAGGAGTATATGTTGGAGGCGTTGAGGAGAGCAGAGGGAGAAAGGATCCAGTCGACGTTTCCTAGCACACCGACTGCCGACAGCTCAAAGTTCAGGGAGGAAGCGATGATGCACGGGCTGAAGATGGTGGAGGAAGAGAGTGAGTGACATGTTCGAGTTGCGATTCGCCATGACATGACCGTGGGCAGGGCGGCGGAACTCTGTGGAAAGAAACACGTACCTTAGGAAGATTCGCTTCCTCGAAAGCGAGCTCCAGGAGGCTGAAGGGCAGCTGGACATCAAGGTGAAGCGAGCCCGACGTCTAGAGCGTCCCTGTGTCTCACACTTGGCTTGCCTGCAGGTCAAGGAGTGCGACGAGTGGAGGGAGGCAGCGGAAGAGTTGTCAAGGGAGGTGACGAGGGAGCAGAGCTGCAAGGAGCAGCTGAGCGAGGAGATGCTTGAGCTCAAGCAGGACCGTGACCTCCTGGTTATCCGTGAAGAAGCTCAGAGTGAGATGGTACAGGACCTGCTGAGGATGTTGAGAGCAGTTGCGCCTCCTCCTCCGGTAGCAAGGAGACGCTCGCGCATTCCCTGGTGGCCTACGAAGTCGCGCAGCTGCGTTGGGTGATTTTGTTTGGTGTTGATGTGCGATGTTTGTGTACAGTACAAGGAAGTTAAGCTCACGTGCTTCGGTTTCAACTGCACATGTTTTCACACACAAACTCTCTCTCTCTCTCTCTCTCTCTCCCCCCCCCCCCCCCTCGCCCCTCCTCAAACCTGTCTCCGTCTCCGTCTCTGTTTCTGTCTTTTCTTCCTCATCTCCTTCTTATTCATCATCTCCATCATCATCTCAATCTCCATCATCATCGTCATCATCGCCTTGAGCTCGCCATGCCGGATCTGCCAGTGTCTCTCCCTGACCCCTTCCCGCCTGTCCACATCGTCACGAATCCATCGCATCCCACAGCAACAAGTGGAAGTACTTTGAGGCTGCAGGGTCGTCTGCGCGTTGGAAGGATGCATGATCTGCCTCACAGCGTTCTTGAACCGCGCCTCCTCCGCGAACTTGAGGGCCAGCCTCTCCAGGAAGTCAGCGTTCTCAATCTGCGGGGACGGACGGTCAGTGGGAGCCGGCATGTTCAGGGAGTTGCTACAAGGTCAGGCAGCTCTTTCAGATCTGCTACCCCGAGGTCGTTGACCAGCCTGTCATGATATTGACTGCGAGCAGATTTCAGCAAGGTCAGTTGGAGCCGAGCAAGGGAGGGCATGTTGCATCAAGGTACCTCAAATGGATCTTTTCCAGGAAGGTAATCAGCGCTGCTATCTTGTTCTCCGCCTCCTCGTCTCTTGACACTCCATCCATCTTCTTTCTCAGCTTCTTCACCATCAGTCCGTCTAGCCCAATGTGTTCCTCCATCTCGTCGTCCTCCATGGCGCGCAGAAGGTCCCCGTCAACCTCCTTGGATCGGATGTTGTTCAGAACCTTCTTCTTCTCGGTAACACATTCCTTGAAGAACACGATCGTGTCTTCTACCGTCCAGGAGCTCATCGGCTTCGTTCGGTATGCTGGCGGGGGTTTCTTGGACGCCAACCCTGTCGATGCTGTCTTGCTGAACATGTCGAGCCACAGGCCAAGTCTGTTCGATGCAAAAGTCACGTTATCCTCCTCTTCGCTCCCGCCCTCCTCCCCTCCTTTAACTCTGATGCCTTTCCCTCCACGACTATCCTTTCCAGCCAATTTCTCGTCTCCAGTCCATAGGCTACGTCATGTGGCGCGAACTTCTGCATACAGCTCTCTTCCAACCAGCTTCACTGCTCGTCCCCGAAATGCTCTGCTTCCCCTTCTTCTGCTCTTGCTTTCCTTAAGCAGACTTGTTGGTTTAGATTCTCCTGCTTCTCTTCCTGAAGTTACCATTGTGCTGCTGTTGATCTTGCACACATCGCAGCACTGCTGCTCAACGTTACTCTCCTCTGGTTTGAAACTCATGATAGCCCACCCTGCTACTGATGCTGCTTACTAACGCTTCTTCTTCTCCTGATCCTCTCCTGATCCTGATCCTCCCCTCCCTCCTCCTCCTCCTCCTCCTCCTCCTCCTCCTCCTCCTCCTCCTCCTCCTCCTCCGCTACTTTTCGTTGAAAGATGCTCCTGTCAAATTTTCGAGGCACCCGTCATATTGACAATAAAGGTTTATAATGAATAATTGTGCTCCATCTATAGTGAAAGTAAGGGATTTGTTAGTTAAAAGGCCTCTTAGTGAAGTTTCATAATAGGCTTTGTAGTCAATACAAGATGCACGCGTGGCTTATCACCCATAGCGACTACCCCTGACACGTACCCACCCCCTCATCTGAGTACCCCACCCCCTTCAAATGTATCCTGCCAATCGTAATTCGTTTTGAGAGCGTCGTCACTAATAGACCCACTAACAGAAAGATCGAGTTTTTTGCTGCCCTCCAAAGCCTCCTATCGCCAATTCGGGAAAAATGGAAAGGGTGGGGTAGTATGGATACCCCCTACCCTCCTGCGAGACTGTGAGCCGCCATGATGATGGAGGAGTTCGACGATGGCCTTGATGCAGCCAACATCGCGGCAGCACAGGCAAGGGAGGAGGGAGG